GTGATACAGTTGCCTTCTTAACTAAACAGTTTTCCAAAATTTTGAAACAGGTATTCAAAAACACGCGTGACCGAAGTTCACAGAAGGGAGCTCAGAAGGGAGCTGCATCATTCAGATCGGCACCGAAGCCAGGGACGTCGAATGTCAAACAGTCTGCCTCACGTCCTGGACAATTCAAAGAAAAGTCCAACAACAAAGGCATCAAGTGCTACGAATGTGAGGGATTTGGGCATGTACAAGCTGAATGTGCCACCTATCTTCGACGCAAAAAGTCTATGTCGGCCATCACCTGGAGCGATGATGAGCCTGACAATGAACCAACCGGATCTGATATAGAAGAAATCTCGGGTAATTTTGTTGCATTTACGGCACTATTTACTGACAATTCAGAACCTGTTGAAGATTCAGAAGGTGGTGACTACGTCTCTGCTGAAGATATGGAACAAAATGCGTTATCCTTTGAAGCTGAATTTAAGAAGTTGTATCCCAAATGGGAAGCTTTAAGAAAAATGAACTGCAAACTAGCTAGTGAAGTAGAGATTGTAACAAATGCGAATAAAGTGTATCAAAATCAAGTAGCTGATAGGAATAAATTGCTTAAAGAAGCTGCAGGTCGAGAAGAAAAACTACAACACGAGGTACAAACTGGAAAGGTACTTCTTAAAGAAACAGCTATCCGAGAAGCGAAACTCCAACAAGAAGTTCAGAAATTAAAACAAGAGCTCAGCGCCTACAAACGACAAATCCAAATGATGGATACCACTTCAACACTCGATAAGATTCTTGATTCCGGCAGGAAAACCTCTGCAAAATATGGCTTGGGCTTCACTGGCAACAACTCCAAAGATAAGACTGTGTTTGTCAAAGCATCTGGAACTGCTCCAGACGACATTCCTGAATGCAGCACTGTGAAACGGTCGTATGGTAAGGTAAACATTCAAAAGATAAAATATAAGCTATATAATCCTGTTTGCCACTATTGCAGGTTACGTGGACATACCAGGCCGGAATGTTACTACTTCTACAAAGATCAAAGGATAGAGAAGTTCAGGCACAAGAACATTCAATCGTTCACAAAACAGATTTGGGTTAAAAAGGCTGATTATGTATCTTTTGTTTCATTTCATACTAAAAGTGCAGGACGAGAAGAAAAATGGTATTTTGACAGCGGGTGTTCCCGACACATGACGGGGAATGCAAAATTTCTGAACAATGTCAACACCAGTAATGGTGAAGTCACTTTTGGTGACGGTGTCAAAGGTCAAGTAACTGGCGTAGGCACTTTAAATGTAGCCGGTTTGCCAAAATTGGACAAAGTACTACTCGTCCGAGGACTTCGCGCTAATCTTATTAGCATAAGTCAATTGTGCGACCAAAACTGGAATGTGTGCTTCACCAAAAACAGCTGCAGTGTGATGGATAACACAAATCAATGTGTCATGGAAGGTAAACGATCAACTGATAATTGCTATATTCTAACCGATAATGTGCTATGTTGCAGGTCTAGTATGAATGAAGCTGAGCTATGGCATCAAAAAATGGGGCATCTCAGTTATAGACTACTAGATAAACTTGTAAAAATTGATAGTGTCCGTGGGCTACCAAAGATGAAAATAGAGTCAACTGTATGTGGTGCCTGTCAAGCTGGGAAACAAACCAGATCAGCACATCCAGCTCAACACACCATAAACACAAGCCGGTGTCTAGAATTGATACACATGGACCTCGTTGGACCAACTCAGACAGAAAGCATTGGAGGTAAGAAATATATACTAGTATGTGTAGATGACTTTTCTCGCTTTTCTTGGGTTATGTTTCTCAGGGAAAAGTCCGAGGCACTTGAGGCATTCAAAACCCTGGGATTAAAAATTCAAAAAGAAAGAAATGAATCCATCAGCAGAATCCGAAGCGATCACGTCAGAGAATTCGAGAACAAAGTCTTTGATGACTTCTGTAACAAATCAGGGATTACACATGAATACTCAGCACCAAAAACTCCACAACAAAACGGAGTTGTGGAAAGGAAAAATCGCACCATACAGGAGATGGGTAGAGTTTTGCTCAACGCCAAAGGACTACCTCAAAAATTTTGGGCAGAAGCAGTAAATACTGCATGTCACATCATCAACAGAGTTTATCTACGTCCGGGTACAACGCAAACTCCGTACGAACTCTGGAAAGGTAGGAAACCAAACATTACTTATTTTCATATTTTCGGCTCACGTTGTTTTATTTTGAAAGATAGGAATCCCACTTCTAAATTTGAACCAAAAAGCGACGAAGGAGTGTTTCTCGGATATTCCACCAACAGCAGAGCCTATCGGGTATATAATAAAGTGACCAAAACCATAATGGAGTCCACAAATGTCGTCATTGATGATCAACCTCGTGAAATTACCGAAGTTATCCAGTCTGATCCAGTGACAGAACCTGCAGCTGAACGACCTAAAAATCCTACCACTAATACTCCAGAACCAAACTCACCCTCTTCATCACCCATATGCAATCAATCTGAATCTGAACCCGAGACAGAATCAGAAAATGAGCATGAAGATATTGACATTCCAACTCGTATCCAGAAAAATCATCCAATTCAAAATGTAATTGGAGATCCAAGTTCAGGCGTGAAAACTAGAGGCAAACCAAAGCGTGACTATCTTGAACTAGCAGGATACTCGTGCTATACATCACAGTTTGAACCAAAGAACGTCAAAGAAGCCCTAACTGACGAGCACTGGATCAAGGCCATGCAAGATGAATTGGGGCAATTCGAAAGGAACAAGGTATGGACCCTAATCCCTAAACCGAATAACGTAAATGTTGTAGGTACAAAGTGGATTTTCCGGAACAAAACAGACGCAACTGGGAATATTGCACGGAATAAAGCAAGGTTAGTTGCTCAAGGGTACTCCCAAATTGAGGGAATCGACTACGACGAAACGTTTGCCCCAGTGGCTCGCCTGGAATCCATCCGGCTACTACTCTCCATTGCTTGCGCACTAAAGATCAAGCTCTTTCAGATGGACGTTAAAACAGCCTTCTTAAATGGCTATCTCACAGAGGATATATATGTAGCGCAACCAAAAGGATTTGAGGATCCACACCATCCAGAATATGTATACAAGCTTCAAAAAGCTCTATACGGGCTAAAACAAGCTCCACGAGCCTGGTATGAAAGACTTGCCCAATATTTACTTCAGAACAACTACAAACGAGGTGGTTCGGATAAAACCTTGTTCATAAAACGATCAGGTAAACACATAACTATTGCACAAGTTTACGTTGATGACATTGTGTTTGGATCCACACAGACAGGTGAAACTGACAAACTGGTCAACGTAATGAAACAAGAGTTCGAAATGAGTATGATTGGAGAGTTAACTTATTTTCTAGGATTACAGGTACATCAGTCAGAAGAAGGAATATTTATTTCTCAAACGAGGTATGCGAAAAATCTCATATCCAAATTCGGCCTTGAATCTGCAAAAGATGCCCGAACACCCATCTCTACAACTACCAAGTTATCTAAAGACAGTCAAGGAGCGTCTGTTGACTCCACCTTATACAGGAGTATGATCGGTAGTCTATTATATCTAACTGCTAGTAGACCAGACATCATGGTAAGTGTTGGTATGTGTGCACGACATCAAGCAGACCCAAAGGAATCCCATCTGAAGGCAGTCAAACATATCATAAAATATGTGAAAGGCACAATTAATTATGGCATTTGGTATTCTACTGATACAAATCTTAGCCTTACAGGTTTTAGTGATGCTGAATGGGCGGGTAACGCCGATGATAGAAAAAGTACGTCCGGAGGATGTTTTTTTATTGGAAAGAATTTGGTTGCCTGGCTGAGCAAAAAGCAAAATTCAATATCACTCAGCACTGCAGAAGCTGAGTACATAGCTGCAGGCAGTTGTTGTACTCAATTACTATGGATGCGACAAATGCTGACTGACTATGGGTTTGATCAGAAAAATATGGTCCTCTTTTGTGACAACACAAGCGCGATCAATATATCTAAAAATCCTGTCCAACACTCCAGGACGAAGCACATAGACATCCGTCATCATTTCATTCGTGAGCTAGTCGAAGAAAAAGAGGTTAAATTAGAATACATTCCGACCGACAAAAATCTAGCAGACTTATTCACAAAACCACTAGACAAATCCAGGTTTGAATTACTTCGTGCTGCTCTCGGAGTCTGTACGATTAATATCTAATTACTCAAACAGGTAAAGGCTTTAATTTTTATCAGTTTATTTATTCTCTTTTCATTCGTGCATTAATCCTTTTAATTTATTTCAGGGATGATAAGTGTTTCCACGTTTTTTTTTCCCACTGTTTGTTTTCCCGCAGTCTCTCTTTACAACTAAAATCCAATCTCTTGTTTTTCGAGTTCCTTTTATTCTAGAGACTTATTCAAGTCAAACACCTATCCCTACTCTACTCCCTCTAAATAACTTCATCATACCCTAGACTTCTAGCCATCACATCCTCCACACAACTTTTGAGAAGCCATCAAATCAAACTTTAACTCTTTGTCTCCATCCAACCGCCCTACTCTTGCTCAAGAGACAACACCCTCTTTGTCTTCCTTCCTCACCATACGCCTTTCTCACCAAGCTACCATTAATGGAGAATCCTTTCTTCTCTCTTGATTCCTCGCATGCTCGTGTCCATCTTTTTCGCAAAATAATTGATGCAGATTCTCCACATACCCCTGAGGTCACGGATCGCATTCTCGCTACCATCAAAGATCAACCGGTCTTACTTGAGGATCTCTCGGACAAGGAAAAGCGTCAACTACTCGCCCTTGCCCGCCATGTCTCCGCTGCTCCATATCTTCTTCCATCCGAGACAAAATCCGTGCCTGCTGTACCGGAGCCGATACCAGCGTCTGTCCTTCTTTCTCCGATCAATCCAGTGGTCCCACAGGCAAGGGAAAAGAAAAATTGGTTGCTACAGGTCCCACTGACAAGAGAAAGATTACTGATATGGATGCTTTGGATGGTCCATCTGACCGAAAACACCAAAAAAGGGGACCCACACTGCCGCCTAGAATCACTCGATCCCAAACTGCAATTATTCCTAAGGCATCAGGTTCGAAGTCAAAGAGTTCTAGCAAAGTCTATAAACCCCGGCTGATTTCACCCGAATTACTGGAGGTGTGGCAGACTCATGTTCACCGGGACTTCATTATTGAAAAGACCTTAAATGAAGAGGATCTGGCTGCGAAGTGTGACATTATTCCATTGCTTCGTGATCAAAATTTACTTGCGTCTCTCCGGCATGTTGGTCCTTATTCCACTTGGCTTACGGCGGAGTTTTACACAAATTTGACGTTGGAGACATTTACTGAAGGATCTGCAAGATTTCATCAAGTTTTTATTCGAGGCACATGGTATCCATTTGGCCCTACGGAGATTAATGCGTATTTAGGCACACCAAATCATCCGGCATCCCCAGACCCGAGTCCACATTTGCTGGCAGCAGCTCTCACACACAATAAATATGTCTCTTGGCCGAGAGATGGCCTTCCCAGTTTGAAGCTCACCACGGTTTATTCTGTGCTCTTGCGTCTAGCTTCCGCGAATTGGGTCCCGGCCGTGCGTCGTCACCAAATTCCTGATCACCTAGCTGGATTCCTATACAAAATTCGGAATCGGCTTCCATTCAACCTTGGCATGGTTATTTTCTCTCATTTAATGTCTTTTTTACAGAAAAAGGAGGCCAAAATACATCTCCCGTTTCCATGTTTGATCTTCGGAGTCCTTCAAGATCACGGCTTTCATCCGTATAAGGAGGAAATTCTTACAACTCCCGACAATGCCTATCTCTTTGATGATCGACTCACTCAACGAGGCCATTATGATGATCGGGCGTCTCTGGCTCTTCTTCCGGTCATTCCACCTCCGGCGCCACTGCATTCTGCCCCGGCTTCTTCGGCTGACACTGCTTCGGCCTCTCGTCCGGATGCTAAACGGATTCCCAAAGAACCCACTACTTTGGTTGATCGTCGGCAGATTCTTCTCACTCTTGAGGCCTCCATTGCGCAAGTTCAACAGTCCGTTGCCTCTCAACAAGCAACCATCGCTGGTCTGGAAAATCTTAGGGATGTGCAGCTCAAGGAAATCACCCGTATGGAAGCTATTCACGCTCAGATTATTGCACACACTGGTGCTGCTACCTCTGGTTCTGACTCTGAAGAGGGAGACGATGATTCTGACTCGGGCACCCCGTCTGCACGGTAATTCTGATTCACTATTTTGATGTTCACCTACCTTTGTCATTTATTTGGCAAAAGGGGGAGTTAGAAGTAAGGGGGAGTATTAAGGTTGTTAGTTTTTGGAAATACTTTGTGTGGATTTGGAAGACTACTGCACTGGTGGATGTTTTCAGTTGGTATTAGTTATGTTTGTTTGGTAGTGTTTCTGCTAGCATGAATTGAAATAATGGACTCATATTAGTTAGGGGGAGTAATTGCAGTGTTGGTACCTCTAACAAATAGCATGGATATTTTTGGTATGATATCTCACATGCTCAAGAGAATCAAGGTTGATATGGTATGATATGATTTAAATGATTATGTGTGTGATTCAAGCTTTAAAGATTTCCATTAAGTTTTCTACTCACAAGTGGTCCAAAAGAATTCATTTTGTTAATGTTTTGTTCTTAATTTTCTATGGCATGTCAAGTACCTATACTAAGGGCTATAAATAAAATTTAATTGATTATTGCCCAAAGTATTTGATACTCAAGTTTTTTCAAATAAAATGCCAAAGGGGGAGATTGTAAGTGTAAAATAGGATTACACCATTGGCTATTTTATTAGAATTACTAAGTTTAAAATAAATTAGTTTTATTTGCTTTTAAAATCTTTATGGACCATGTGGGTATGGATTAAGTGGTCAGAATGATTGGTTTTATTAAATCCACAAAGAAGGTTTCAATGTATCAAATGAATGGCTGAGGCTTATTCGAACAGTGATGAGCTAAGGGGACGGCTAATTTGATGGATCAAGACAAACAAAGGGTGTTGAAAGGACTATAAAAGCACATTGTCTGAAGGAAGCAGTTTGCCGATTTACTTGAGAATTATATATTGTGAATGCTCTCCTGTTTTACAAAGCAATTTCTATTTAATTGTAATTTCTGATTTAATTTGTAAAAAGCAATTATTTTGTACTGCATGATCAGTACGTGGTTCTGCTGAAGCAACTTGTGAAGATTGTTCGGGTGAACGTGTGACAGTCCTGGATAGGTGTTAGAAAGAGTGGTAGTGGTAAAGGCTGGAGGCCGTATTCAGTTACCTCTTGTAATACTCCTTTGGTGAACATCTATAGTGGATTGGGCAGACGTGGGTTGCCCCGCAGACGTAGGAGAAGGAGCTCCGAACTGCGTAACAATTTTCTTGTGTTTTTATTTTTACGCTTTCTGCAGTTATTATTTATACTTGCTTATACGGGTTTAATTAAGCAACTAAATTGGTGCATAATTCAATTAAAAATAAAAACACTTAATTGTCTTTTATTTCAAGTATCACGGTACAATTTCAGAAAACCTTAACTATTTATATATTTTCCCAATCATTTTCTACCATTCATTTTTCCTATTATTTTGCCTTATGCCTGAGTCTTCCACAATTCCAGCCATGTTATTATGATGCATGCCTGTACAAAAAAGAAAAAATCAATTGTAAAGTTTAGATTTATAATATATATATATATATATATATATATATATATATATATATATATATATAAGTAATTATAATGTAGTACGCATTATATGTATACTATAATGCATTCTATATTATATATATTATATTATATATTATATTGTATATTATATATATATATAGTATTAAGTACGTAGTATGTACTCTTATAAATTATATATTATATATATTATATATAGTATAAGAATAGATTATACTATGTATATAAAAAGAACTAATTATTAGATAATATTAAATAATTAATATAAAAATATTATAAAGATGTACCTAAAATATGAGCGTAAAATATGCCCATCATTGATGATAATTACAAAAATGCCATCACATTTTTTTTTAAATCTGATCAAATTCATTGATTTTTTTACAAATGTAAGATTGAGATTGATTCTTATTTCTCTAATATGATACTGTTCTCATAGGATCCTTAGCATATATATATATATATATATATATATATATATATATATATATATATATATATATATATATATGATCAGATGCAGTAATAGGCTTCAGGTAAAAGATGGGGTTCAATCTCTGCCCTTAATCTAATCAAAATCAACATTCCAGATTGTAGAAAACTTAAAAAATAGCATGGTGGCAATTTGGTCTTTTTGCATATTGGTCAAACTTAAGGTGCCCGTTCTCCTTCTTAAGGTGCTTCATTTGCCTACTTAAGGTGCTTGATTTCTGTGCTTAAGGTGCGTCAATTATTCAGTTGAGAATTTAAGGTGCGTTTTTTGTTGAAACTAAAGGTGTGTTAGTCTAAAGTTTTAGTTGTGTCGTTCTCCTTCTTAAGGTGCATATATTTAAAGCTTAAGGAGTGCCAGTTTTCTAGTTTAAGGTGCACCGGTTTAAGCTTAAGGTGGATTATTTTATATCTTAAGGTGCGTAGTTTTATAACTTAAGGTACGTACATTTATATATTAAGGTGCATCAGTTTGAGACAGTTCCTCATTTGTATACATGTTGGCAGAAACGCGTTTAAAAAAAATATTTTTTCTTGATTTGAGCCGTTGATCTAGATTAGATCTACGGTTCAGATTTCACCCCATCTTTCACCTGAGAGAGTCTTCGCACGTGAAATGAATATATATATATATATATATATATATATATATATATATATATATATATATATATATATATATATATATATAGAGAGAGAGAGAGAGAGAGAGAGAGAGAGAGAGAGAGAGAGTGAATTCCATTTTTGGTCCTACTGTTATAAGGGCGTTTCCAATTTCAGTCCACTTTAATTTTTTTTGCCACTTTACAACCAGTGTTATTGAATGTGTTCCACTTTTAGTCCACCATTAATATTTCCGTCAAGAGGCCGTATAATCAAAGGGTATTTTGGTCTTTTTATGTTTGTCTCTTCTCTTTTAATCTAGGCGCTTCGTCCTCCTCCTTCGATATTCGAAGATGGCTCTTCGAACAACGAGAATAGGAAGCCAAAGCTACATCGTTTCGTTCGTTCCAACATGGGCCGGCGATGTTTCTTAGGTTTTAGGTTTAATGCTCTTATTTCTTTAGTCAAACATAGTCTTGGATGAGAAGAAATGTCAAAATACCCCTAGATTACACGGCCTTTTGATGAAAATACTAACGGTGGGACTAAAAGTGGAACACGTTCAATAATAGTGGTTATAAAGTGACAAAAAAAATTAAGGTGGACTAAAATTGAAAACGCCCCTATAACAGTAGGTCCAAAAATGAAATTCACTCATATATATATATATATATATATATATATATATGGCACAAGATTCTTTAATACCCTGTGTGGAATATTAGAATATACAAATTCCTTTTTGTTTTATTGATGTTTGGACAGGCTGTAGTGCTGATTTTGGTATTAGGAATAAAAAAAACTTTATAAAGAAAGGCAGTTAGGGATGGAGTAGATAAGGCTGCCGGAAATGATGAGTGTTAGTGCTTTATTCCCAATCAGGGGTTACAAGAATTATTCTGTGTGCGAAGTTGAAATGAATTAAAAAAATGTTTATAACGAAATATTAAAATAATGTTGTTAGTGGGATTTGATCCTTGTTAGGATTTAGGAATTTTTGTATTAGAAGGTGAATGAAGGTTATACCCTTCATCTGTGTATGTTTTTTCCTTTAAATTTCTCTATACATTATGCTATAAAAGTTGTACTTTATAATATTTTGGATATACATATCTTACCGTTATAACTTTCGTTATCTTTTCCACTATTTTTACTATGCACATGCATCCACTATATATTTTCTTATCTTATTCAATAATAATAAGAATATACACAGATGACATGTAGTGACTCTCCCATATGGGAGGTCATGAGATCGAGCCGCAGTGGAGGCGGTGTTGACTCTTTGTTCTTCAATAGGTTGAGATAGTATAGCTGCACAGACACTACAATGTAATTATGTAATAGAGTCAGTAGCATTTACACATTATATATTGAAGTTAGATGTTAGTTATTTTCTAAAATATAAATATCAAATTTATAAAAGTATTTTACATCATCATCATTATTATTATTATTATTATTATTATTATTATTTACAATAATTTAAATATTTAAAATTTAAATAAATTTAAAATTTTAATATAAATTATTAATCGGGCACTTACTTTTTGTGCATCGCGCATAAAAAAAATACTAATATATATATATATATATATATATATATATATATATATATAAAGAGAGGGGTGAGGGGCTACTGTTCCCATTCCCCCACTTCCTCTGGATCTGCCCATCTTCCCAATATACTGCTGAATCAGCTGATGTACTAATAAATAACTAATTATTAAAATTTTAGGCTATGAGCTATATTAACAGTCGTTATATTATAGACCGCGGTGCACAAAAACGACGCCGTTTCTTTAAGTAAAGAAACGGTCCGCCGTTAGAGTTAACGGAGTCCGTTTGTTTGGTGTATTAAACACCAACTGACACTATAGTATATCTAAACCGACACTGCAGTTATATCAAAATGATATTGTAGTTATAGTGAAATGAAACTGCAGTGTATATAAAATGAAACTGAATAACATTTCACATATTTAAGTGTATATTGTACAATGAAGCTGTAATTATATCAAAATGATCATGTAGTTGTGTTTTAATGAAACTATAGTGTATATAAAATAAAATTAAATAACATTTTCACATATTTGAGTCTATAAATATCGAATGAAACTATAGTTATATCGAAATGAAACTGTAGTTGTGTTGAACTGAAACTGCAGTGTATACAAAATGACACTGCATAACAGAGTTACTTTTTGCAAAAGGGTGCAAAACGGCGGAAACAAACAATGTTTATTTTCATTTAAAAAAAAAGACGCGCGGTGCATAATCGATTATGCACCGCGGTGCATAATATAATTTGCCCTATATTAACACATCCTTTAAAAAAAGCTTATTAATAGCTTTGAATTTTTGGAAACATTTTTAAGCTGGGTTTAGTAGTTATGGACTGAGGAAATAAATGCAAGTACTGATCGGCGACTTAGAGACAC